ACCACACTTGGCTATAGAACAGTCAATTCTGAAAGGAAAATGTGAAATCTCAAAGGGAAGTTGACATTTCACTAGAGCATCAAAAGATCTGTGGAATTTTGAATAGTTGTTATATGACTGGGTGTGTATGAGATGATGCTTTAAAAATGGAAAACACATAAATTTATCCTTCTTTACAGGCAAGTAGCACTCCATTGTGTATGGATACCACATTTTCTTGATCCATTTTTTCTGCTGATGGCCATAAAAGGCCCCTTCTAAGCCTGAGCTATTATGAGTTGTGTTGCTATAAACATGGGTGTGGGTTTATCACTGTAATACAAGGTCTTTAACTCTTTGGAAAGATGCCTAAAAGGGGAACAGCTGGGTTTGATGGAATTCTAGTTTTAGTTTTTTGAGGAATTTTCATAACAGTTGCACTAGTTTACGTTCTCACTAGCAGTGTGCAGAGTTTCTTTTTCCTCAACCGTTCTTTCTGGTGTAACATGAAATATCAGTGTCTTTTTAATTTGATTTCTCTGGTGACTAACTATGTTGACCATTTTTTTCATGTGGTTATTGAACATTTGTATTTTTTTCTTCTGAGAAGTGTTTGTTCATTTCAGTTTCCTAGTTTTTGAATGGGATCTTTTTACCCAGTTTTTGAGTGGGGAAAAATCTAATTTTTTTTGAGTTTGTCCTTTTTGATGAACTAACAGAGATTAGTAGTATAGTTAACTGTCTTGTATATGTATATACATACACACATATGTATATGTTTACATATATCTATATAATCTTTTCCCTTTCCTTTCTCCTTTCCCCTATCCCAGTTGTTCTTTTTTAGCACTTTCTTTCTGTTCACAATACTTATTGTACATTTTGGGTCTCATTTACTCTTTCAGTTTTTTTTAACACTAGAGAGAAAATATGATATTTATACATGCAAGACTGGTTTATTTCACTTATGAGTATGATCTCAAGTTGCATCTATTTACTTGGAAAAGCCTCACGTTTATCCTTCTTTATAGCTGAGTAATACTCAGTTGTATAAAAATACCACATCTTTTTATCCATTCCATGATTCATGGTTATTTAGATTGTTTCCAAGACATAGCTATTACAAATTGTACACATATATTGCTTTGCTGTGATGTTTTCAATTCTTCTGGGAAAATACCCAGAAGAAGAATAACTAGATTGAATGGGACCTCCAATCCTAGTTTTTTTGAGGAGTTTCCACACTAATTTCCACAATGATTGTCTCCACTCCTACCAACAATGGAAAAGGGTTCCTTTTTCTTACTTTGTTTAGTTTTCAGCTGTCTTCTGAGTAGGTGATCTTGCCAGACTTCCACAGAGAAGAGTTGTTTCTTTACTATCTGTGGGAAATATTTCTAATTATTTGAGGTTTTTAAAGAACTCTGATTGTGGTGTTGCTAAATTTATGCTAATGATTCAAAGTAGTTTTTAACACAAATTTGCACTTATGTGATGTTTAGAATAGATTGTAAATTTTGGTGGGGTTTTTGTTTTTGTTTGTGTTTTTGTTTTGTTGGTATCAGAAATCAAACTCAGGCTCTCACACTTGCCAGACAGGCATAGTGTCACTGAGCTATGTCGCTGGCCCTAGATTGTAAATTTTGAGAAAGATTTATTTGTATTGCCAAACAACACATTCTGTGTCACATACATCTGTATGTCTCTGGGTAACCCCTTGATCTAGGTATGGAAAAAGACCCAGCAGCCTGCATAGCAGTGTGCATAGTCAGGGTTTATACGTTGTGTAACTTTGATTTTGTTACTTTTATCATATAATGAAAATCAGTCATTTTCATTTTAAAAAGTACATAAGGATTATAAAGCCTAGAATGTTTGAGTGATGTGTATAAATTTACACATGCAATTACTAATGACCTTACATGTTACTCCTTTGTCTTCAAGATTCTCCTATTTGATGGGTTGTCACAACAGAAATAGACGTGCTACTGGCCCCAGCACTTGTTCAGGAATGGGCTATATCCCACCTTGTCACTTTCCATGCTGAGAGTCATTAGCTGTCCTTCACAGTCTAGTGACAGAGACCAAGGCAGGTACCCTCACTGAGAATACAGAATCACCATAATTTTGCTGGAGATGATTTAGCTTTTCCTCCATCAGATCACAGGGCTCCTTGGGTATTAATATCCAGCCACTCCCAGAACACAGCTCCTGTCTTCTGGAGTACAGTCCAGTGGGGCCCAGGTTCTGCCCAACTGTGATGCAGATCCTCTGACCCTTCTCCTGTCCTTCATGTTCCGTCACTGTCAGTAGAGTTGCTGTCTTAGTTACTTTTCTTCTTGTTGAGACAAAAATAGCAAGCACCTAAAGTTAAAGGAGGAAAGATTTATTTCTCACAGTTTATAGAGATTTCAGTCTATATTCTACCAGCTCTGAGGAAGGTGGCATGGCAGAGGATCTCATAGGAGAAACAGTTCATGGCAGGCAGCAGACAGCAAAGCAGCAAAGTTGCAAGCATCAAGCAGCCACCACAGCCCTCTTTCTGTCCCTTATAGTCTATCCAGGCTACACTCCTTAGAGTAGGTAGCACTCACTCCCAGAGTAAACCTTCCCATTATCCATACCCAAAAACTATTTCTAACTAACTTGTGGACCATTTTAGTAATCATATATCCTTAATCCCAGCATCAAAAACTCTAGATCCAGCCACCTCTAAAAAGCCCCACCTATAACCACAGAAAGCTTTGGTGGACATACAGGCGCAAACCATAACAATGCCACTCAGCCCAAATCTTAGTTTCTTCCTTTATCCTGTGATGAAATATAGCTACCAGAGAATTTTTTTACCTTTTTTATTTTCTCTCCCATCCACTATAGCAGCCTTCATCTTTTGTATTTTTCCCCTAAACCATTTGCACTCAAGGTTTAACATTAAGTTTATATGAGAAAATAGCAATGAAAGATGCAGATATTTCAAATGGAAAGAATTTTTAAGCACATAGAACATATTTGCTATTTCCATTTAGGCCTCAGGGTTTTTTTTATGTTTTTGTCTTCATTATTCTCTACAGTTGACGCTATCTTGATTATTCACACTTGAGTACTATGCCTTTAGGAAGAATCTTCCTGAGTTGGTTTGTTTGTTGTTATTGTTATATGGTTTGTTATTTTTGCTTTGTTTTTTGAGGTAAAGTCTTGCTACATTTCAGACTGGCCTTGAACTCACTATGTAGCCGTAGCTAGCCTTGAACACACAGCAATCCTGCCTCATCATCCCAAATGCTAGCATTGTAGAAACACACCACCATGCCTGGCCTCTTCGTAGGTCTTCAACTAGAGAGAATCCAAGGTCATCTTCAGTTCTTCTTCCCCAGTTCCCACTCATGTTTGAATCTTACATATTTGGTCTCTCAAATGAGTCCCTGTCTGTTAATTTTCACTTCTTCTACATTAGTTCAAGGGTTTTTTCTGGCACAGTATTGTAATAACTGAACTACCATTCATTGCCTCTAGCCTTGCCTCTTGTCAGGGTATTCTTTCCATTTTCACCTGAACTCTTGAAGCTTAAGTTGTATTATATTACCCTGTTGGTCAGCAACTCCTTACTGACATATTCTGAATGCATCTCTTAAAACTGACGCAAAACCCAAATCCAAGATAGGATGCTCGAGTTTCTTTGTAAGGCAGTCTCCCAGAACTTAGATTGCATTTTCCATGTGGAAGCAATACGTGGAAAATAGGCTAACAAGCCAGCTGAAACTTCAAATTAAACCCTCCATGATCACCGAGGCCTACGTTTCCATAGAAATAACCTCCCAGATGTCCAATTGGTACATCAAGATGGGGTATGGGCATACGTTGAGGAATTGGAAGAGAACACTCCCTTCTCGTTCTTCTCTGGATATACAGATTTAATAACCACGATAAAACCTAGTATTTGTCAGCTGCCTAAAATGAGTCAGCCTTGAAGTAAGACACTTTGTATATATTTGTCCTCATTTCCCTAACTGCTTTGTAAAATAGTTATATTCTTTTAACAGATGCTTAGCAAATTAATAATTTAAGTAATATCACAAAAGAAATGCTTACCTGACATAAGAGTGTGGGGGGCTGAAAAGATAAGAAGTATGAAATATAAATGACCTTTATTTTTTTTATTTAAGGAGAAAAAGGGAAAAAAAACAGAAAAAGGGTACACGTAATATAAAATTTAAAAAATAAACAGTAAGAAATCACTAGTTAATAGATTACATATTCTCATCTTAGAAATAGTTGTTCAGATTACAAAATTGAATCACATAAAGTGGACTTTCAAACAGTGAGCGTGCAAACAGTTTTGCTTAAATGACCTTTATTTTAAGAATGCGGGAGAGACCCCCGACATCCTGGGGTGTCCCCCCCCCCCCCCGTTGGTGATCTCTCCGTGGAACACGTGGAGTGAGGGCATACATGTAGCTTAGGTTGGGGGTGGTGCCTGAGGGGCATTAGGGATGCACAGGCAGCCCATTGGTATTCTTTTGGCACTAGAGGTAAATTCCTAGGGTGGGGAAGATAGGGCCACAGGTAAAACTCCTAGGGATGGGGGAGATGGAGCTCCTTGGTTCTGCCGGAGGCTTTACGGGCTACAGTGCCTGTCTGGGCCAAAATCCTTTCAAAGAGAATATTGTTAAGCACTACTTTTCAAACTTTAGTAATTCATAGACTCTTTTAATTGAAAAAATAATTGCAGACTCTCAGTATTGATACACGTTATTATAATTTTGCTTAAATACAAACAAACATAAAATTAGGTATATATTTCTCATATTTATACTTCTTGTTCAGTTATAAGCCAAAACAAATTAAGTACAAAATCCAATAAAACAAATGAAATGCAAAATAAGGTTAATATAATATGATAAATGGTGCTTTACTGAAAGCAAATTGCTGCTTATGATGTTCATGCAGAGCTGCCTGCCACTCTAGTTTCCTTTATGGCTTTCATTATTGTTGAGTCTCTTCTTGTGCTACATTTCTTCTAGGATATTGAAGATCCAAGATTGGAACAGTACACAGTGATTGCATCATGGTGTCATTTTGTCCTTCACAGGGTGGGACTGAGTCATTTACATATTAAGTAAGCATTCTTTTTTATTATTTCTTAAAACTAAAGTGGTGTGCTTGGCATTACCATACATATATGGAAATCATATTGTCGTGCTAAGTTAACAAGTTGCCATTGCAATGACCTGGCATATGTTTATATTAATTTATTATAGATAAAAACTTCTTAAAGCAGTTTTGAATAACTCATAGACCCTTGAGAATACATTCTAGATCCCAGTTTGAAAAAAATTTTTTAATGTATTTTAAATCCAGTTTGTATTTATAACCATTATAAAAATGATTCTTATGTATTTATTACAATAGATTTTCCAAATACCTTTACAAGAAAAAACTAGTTTATTATATTTCCTTAAAGCAATAAATCTATATTTCTTCAAAGTGTTATATAATTTAACTTTCATAAATGTAGATATATTAGTTCCCTTTAAAAGTCTAAATGATAAATGTTTCACAGTATTATTGATTATTCTTTTCTAAAGCTAGAGAAGGGAAATTTTAGTTTAACTGAAAAAAGAATACCAGGGCTGGAGGTTTAGCTCAGCGGCATAAGCTCCTGCCTTACAAGCAGGCAGTCGTGAGTTCGATCCCCGGTACCGATAAAAAGGAAAAAAAAAAAAAAAAGAAAGAAAGAAAAAAGAATACCTTCTACCAAAAGTACTAGTCACACAAGACAATAAAGTCTCCAAGAACAGTGAAGAGTCACAATGACATTTGTCTCATGTTGCCATAAACATTGAAGTGGCCTCTTTCTCAGAATAATCAATTCTCATATTTCTCTTTCCTTCCCAATTTCCTTTTCCCCTTCTCAGTTTCTTTGAGTCTTGCATTGCCCTTACTTCCCTTTTTTCTTATTTGCTTTCTTTAATGCAAAGGTGACCTTCTCTTCACAAGAAAGGCTAGTTTGTTACGATACAAACTAATGGCTTAATTTATTCTTCAGCCCATCTTTCTTCAGTTGACAACCAGCTCTGAGGGTAGGGGCAGTGCAGTGTAGGAATGCAGCAAGATGACTTCTAGCAGCACCTCACCCTTCACTCTAAACCAACCACTTCAGTGACCCCTCCAAAGAAGACTGGCTCCTAACTCGGGCCAGGTTGGACAGAAGATCAATTTTGATTTGCCAGATACTATTCATCCCCTCAACACTGTGAAGCACAAAAGCACAACTTAGGGATGGATATCTAAGTGACTGTTTTGCCTTTACAATAAGCTTTGGACCTGTCCTTTTGAGTACTGAGCTAGGAAATGTGTGTGTATCTACTTGCAACTCTTCTATGTTCACAGTGAAGTCCCCTGTGCTGGACAGTGCAGCTGCTGCTGAGTGGACCTCTTGGGGACTGCCATGAGATGTCTAAAGCATCCTCCAGATTCCAGAATGGAATTTATATAGACCTGCACTCTGTAGCCTTAGAAAGTTCCAGTTTCTTCATCTGTAAAGTAGTATGTACATCAGAGCTTTTGTGAAAATTAACTTTTCCTGTGTAAACTGCTTCAAATAATGCCTGGTACTGTGTAGTCAGCAAGCACTTATTTAACATTTACTGTGGTCCAAGCAGTCCAAGAGATAAAGAGATGAAAATGATGTAGTCCTGCCTTATAGGAACTTACATGATTACAAACACAATGTGGCATTGTAATAAGGAATTTAGGGAGTCAGGAAATCCTCATCACACAGCTAAAGCTTAAACTGGATCATAAAGGACAAAAGAGTTTTGCCACTTGGAACAGAATTAGAGGAGACACATTCCAAACTGAAGAAACATATTATGAACACAATAGATGTGAGAGACTGTGGAATCTTGGCTGTGAGATAACATTTAACCTCCTCTCCTGTGCATACCTTTCTAAGCAGGAGGCTGAGGTGGGCTCAGGAAACACAATAACTAGGAAGAGTGTTATTTAACTGCTTTGTCAAGAATTCTTCAAGAATTTAAACTTATAAAACAAGGTGGGAACTGAGGAGTGCTGCTCTGCTGTGGTGCACTTACTGTTACACAATTCTAACACTGAGATGACTACCATGTCACAGGAACAGTAAACTATTGCAGAAAACTTACGTGGTTAGAACAAAAAGCCTTTGTCTTTTAATAGACTTTTTATTAGATTTTCATAGTAAACAGGTTTTACTTTGGCTTCTTATTTAGACAAGGACCTCAGGTCTTCAGATCTTGTCTTTGTGTAATAGCAAGGAACTGTGACTTTTGTTGGGGGGAGTCTAAACCCAAGAAGATTCTTTCCTACTCATGGAATTTCTATTTGTGTACCAAATTAAATCTGTATGTTATCTCCTGAAAAACCTCTTCCTGCTGCTTTGCTTTCGCTTCCTCTCCCCGCCCTTTTAGTCATGTACTGAAAGCTTTGGCAACTGTTGGAGGTGTCAGGTCAGCGTTTTTTACTGTGGAAGAAGAAAAGTTTGGGAACAATGACGTGGCCATATTTGTCACATTTTCCTTTGCTTTTTTTATACAAATGACCCACATGTTCCATTACAAAAGCTTAATGAGAGCACGTTGGCTTATAAACTTTACACTCACATCCTAGAGACAGATTACTGTGTACATGACATATAGAAGATAGTTCCTCAGTGAGTGTCCTTAAAAGCCCATGTACAGCAGTGAGGATTCCTGACTCTGCCTCCAAGGACAGGGAAGATTTTATGGAGTGAGATAATGGTTTGGGGGAGCTACAGGGTTAGAGAAAGCTTTGTCCTCTTTTGCAGTGAACAGATTCTCCTTGGGTGTCTTTAGGGGTTGCTGTCTGTGTAAGGTTTAACAGACTACCTCCACATACCCTCTTCAGGAAAGGGAACTGTATCTAGTTTGAGGATCTCCAGCTTCTTCAGCTGACCAGTTTCAAGACTGAAATCAGGTGTGGATTTGATTGTTTTATATCAAATGTACTTGAAACTGTTGGACTAGAAGCAAACTAATTATAATTGTACCACAGCAGACAAAGTAAAAAACAGTAATGTGTTCTTAAAAGGCTGTCGCAACTTTCAGGGAAATAAGTTGTTCTTGAATAGCTTTATCTAGGGTGTGAAGGACCTGGTCCTGGAAACTCTCAAATATGAAATGGGGCTTTGGATCATGGCATCCTGGCTAGCTAGTAGGGCAGCTTTGGCCATTCTACTCTCCCATACACCATTTCATCCAGAGGATCTGCTTGGAGATTGTAAGGAGCAGATGAACTTTTTTATCAGACATTCCATTTGGGTGCTCTGTATCACACCTGTTCTGGAAAGTAAGGAGGGGCACTGGCATGGGCTGTAGGGCCTCCTGGTTAAGTGCTCCAGGAGACACGCATCTTATTTCTCAAGCACAACTCTAGTGACTCAAGTTTCCAGTTAGGGGAGCGTCAGATTTGAGCAGGGAAAGCTGCAAGTTATTGATTGCCACTGAAGTCATTTCACATAGGCTGTACAGCCCCAAGCTTGCTCTTTGGATAGATCTGCGTCTGGTACAGGTTCTCTAAGAGCCTGGTAGCAGTTAGAATAGTTTTGAAGTGTCTTTATATGTGCCCATACCTAATTAGTGTTGCAATGAAGCCCTCAGAGTTCAGGTTTGTGGCTTAGACAGCAGCTCCATCTGGTGCTCACTGAAGGTGTTTGCTTGGTTCACCTCCTGGGGTGGAATCATGAATACAGATGTGCGCAGAACTGGTAAAGTTGTGAGAGCCAAGATGAGTTTCCCATGCAGCACAGACTCAGGTTGTGTTCCTGCAGAGTCTTGTTCAGCAGTGCTGTTGATAGTGTGATAGCTGCTGATCAACTTGGTAGCCAGCTTTGGACTGGATTCACGTATACTCAAAGTGGGAAATTAGTTTTCATATTTATCAGTCTTGGAAAAAGAAAATATGTTACTTTCAAAGAGAAAACTTAACCCCTTATTGGGGGTGAGCTTAACCTGAGAAACTATTAGTTTAGGATATCTTATTCTTTTGTGTTCAGTGCCACGTAGTATTAAATATGTAGGAGATATATGCATTTGTGTGTGTGTACGTATACATTTAACTTCTTAATGACTGGCAGCAACTGACCTGTGTTAGTTTGCTTTTCCATTTCTGTGACAAAATACCTGAGATAAATACCTTAAAGCAAGGAAAGGTGTATTTCAATTCACAGTTTCAGTTCCTAGTCACTTGTCCCATTACCTTTGTACCTGCAGGGAAGCAGCACATCATAGAGTGCCTATGGCCAAGGAGGCTGCTCACCTCACAGTATCCAGGAGGGGTGACCAGGATCCCAACGTCCCCTCCATAACATTCCTCAGTGACCTGACTTCCTTCTAATAGCTTCACTTCCTGAAGACTCCAACACTCAGCACTCCAACACTCCAGCAGTGTTACAGGCTGGCTGCCACACCTTTAGCATGTGTGTCTCTGTAGGACATCTAAGAGTCAAACCATAACATGCCCTAGACTGTTAATAAAAGTTACTTCTGAATAATAAAATTTCACATTTCCTGTTCTCTTTATACTTCAGAAGAGTTCATAGTAACCATGTACAAAAGAAAAAATAACTTTAAAATAAAACATATAGATAGCTATAGCCTTGTGTCCCAGTACCAGATCTCATCCACTGTGTGAACTTGGGAAGGTACTGTCTTTTCAGGACTTGATCCCTTGTCTGTAAAACAGAAGGACTGAACTAGGGCCCTGCTCAGTTTCACAGTCTGAGGTGTTTGCAGTTGTCCTCTCTCTTTGCCCTCTTCTCAGCCTCTGCCACACTCCTGTGTCTTTCCACAGTACTATCACATTATCTAGTTTCTCTCATCTTAATGTGAGGGAATCCTTTCTGAACCCCCTCCTCCTGTTCCCCTAGCTCTTTCTTTCATTTTCCCACCTAAGCTTTTTGAAAAAGTTGAACAACTTTGCTCTGTTACCTTACTATTCAATTCTCTGCAGTCTGGTTTCCATCCCAGAATATGTAGTATGTGCTGAGGTCTCTGAGGGGCTCACATGGCTAAGTCCAGAGACACATAGATGTAACTCCTTCTCCATTAATTCTCAGCAGTATATGAAACTTTGTCCTTCCCTCTAGGTGATATTTCTTCCTCTGGCTTCTGTCTCATCATACCATACTGTTACTTTTCTGTTCTTGCAGGAGCATTTTCTTTTCCCAGAGTCACCCACCAATGCCCTACCCATTTGATGCTGTTTTCTTTTTGGCCTACATGGTTTTCTGATAATAATTCCCAGAAAAGTGAGAACCATCAAAACTCTCTCTTCTGTGTCCCAAATTTTTTAATTCAAATGCCTACTCTGGTTTTGTTTTTGTTTTGTTTTGCTGGTTTACAAAGTATGAACTTAGAATCTTTCCCTCCTCTGGTGTTGTCTGTCTTAGTAAGTAGTTCCCCACATCATCAGAACACATAAACCCAAAGCCTCAACACCTGTGTTCTCTCCAAATCCCGTCCTTCTTAAACCTGCCTTTCTCACTAGGCATGATAGCACACATCTGCAATCCCAGCAGTCAGGAGGCCACGGTAGACAGATCACTGTGAGTTTAAGGGTAGCCCGGGCTGCATAATGATAGTGAATTCAACTCTGAATTACAAGAGTGAGACCCTGTCTCAAAAACTAAAATAAATTTTTTAGAAATTAGATCTACCTATCTCTTCCTTTCTTGAAAACATACCCTAATGCAGATCCTCATCAAACCTTTATTTGCCCTGTAGGTCTGTAGAGTCTTTTTGCTTCCTGCCCTATCTCTGAAGTTGATTTTCTGTGTAGCTTCCAAAACTGTCTTTTGCAAGTCAGTTTTATTCGAGCTTAACTTACATATACAGAAGTTCAGCTTTAGAGTGCACCTGTGTAAGTTATGACAGACACTTGTTGTATAACCACACAATATTTGCATTGTTTCCAGTTTCTGTCTGTAAACCTTTGTGTACTGTAAAAAGTTTTAGTGTAAAAAGAAATTTTCAATTATGTTGGGCAGATACCTAGGGTTGGGATTGCTAGGATGCAAATTTATATTTAACTATGAGAAACTGCCAAACGTTTCCACAGCGTCTGAACTGTTAGAATTCCCACCAGCAATACATACTGTAAGAATTGCTCCACATCCCACTAGCACTAGCCAGGTTTTTGTTTTGTTTTTGCTTAAATCATTCCAATAAATGTATAGTGGTAGCTCCATGTAGCTTCAACTTGCATTTCTGTATAACTGGTGATATTTAGAATCTCTCACATTTTTATATACAGTTTGTATATCTTTGGTAAAGTATCTGCTCCAATAGTTTACCTGTTTTTTTTTTTAATTGGGATTACTTCCTTTTGTTGAGTTTGAAAAGTTCTTTATATATTCTAGATAAAATGCTTAGATAAATGCACTTTGCAAATAATATTTTATCTGTTATTAGTATCTTTGGCAGACTAAACACTTTAATTTTTATAAGGTTCAAACTATGAGTTTATTCTTTTCTATATTTGGTTTTGCA